ACGGGGGTAAAATTGACGGGGATACCCGCGGTTACTTCCTGTCGATTAAACGGAACAATAGCTGGTGATGCAGCGACGATCGTCGCGCTTCGTCGCAACTATATCTACCGAAGGGCTGCAGGTTAGAAGCGTTAAATTTTTTAGCAAGTGTCCCTCGATGGATCCGCAGGGATAAAAATAAAAGAGACGCTAGACGTGTGTCGCGTCGTTTCGGAGCACAACGGTACTTTCCTCAACAGCGAAACAACTTACAGCCGAAGCTGAAGGAGGAACGAGAATACGATAGGTGGAAGAATGTTCTCGTCTTGCAAAACTGTGAACAGACCAATTTTTAATTTAAAAACGTTCGCTTTTTAATTTAAAAACGGACCAATTTTTAATCGCAATTTTAACACCCTTGTTTTTAAAGATGGATGTTAGGACGACTCTTGTGGAGATTCAATCAATTTTAATCGTTCAACATTGGAAAACTATTTATACACTAATTTCTGTCGGAGAGAATATGAAATATAAAATTGAATTGAATTTTCGTGATATAATGTAAATTACTGTAATTATTTATTGCACAACTCCGAGATATTATTTGAGAATTGAATACTATGAATATTGACGAAATAAAGATTTTGAAGGATGTCTGAAACTTTGTATTATTTTTATATTATTATTGTATTTTCGAATCACTGCTCCGAAAATTCAATCATTTCTCGTCCTAATTTAAATATCACGCAGAAGATTGAAAATTACTTCAAATTTCTTTTCAATGACCACAATTTAATTCGCGTCGTAACCCGGTTTATAAATAAGAGTTAACACGAAGAATTGGCACGGTGTTTGCATCGAAAAGACCAAGAACTAGGGCGAATATTTAAAATAGATAAATGTCGAGCATCATCGAGTAGGATCACCCGAGGCGAGACACTTTCGCTACATCAAAGATGAACTATGAAGCTGAGACGAAGCAAAGAATCCGTTAGCAACATCGTAACGAAATAGCTCGCCCTTTCACCAACGCTTACCGGTGTCTGCACAAAGGCATTATTCAAATGCGTTACACGGCACTCGCTCCTCGATTCGCAAATAACGAGAATGGAATCTCTTGAAGCTTTTGCTGATGAAACACGAAGATGAAAGGGCAATTCATCGAAAATAATAACACGCGGATAGTTTCGTTAGAATCCAGAAATTGAACACGCCCGAATGAACGTCGTTAGATTTTTAATTTCTTCTCTCTTTTGTCCCCGAAGCCCAGATAAATATTATTAACCTCGGAACTTTTTGGAAAAGTTCCATTTGTTCGAATGATATAAAAAAAATTGCAATTTTAATGGAAAGTTTTGATGCACGAAGTTGGGTTGGAAGTGCGGGAGGGGGAAAAAAAAAGGAAAATAAAAAATTTAATGGTGCGAAAAAATTTAAAAAACTGAAAAATTTTAAAAAGTGAAAAGCAGAGGTGAAAGGAAAATAGAGTTCTAGGGGGCTTGGAGTAATCTGGCTCTCGAATACAGAATCAAAGCTGAAAGTACAAGATCAGAGAGGTTTGTGAAAAATTTGTAACGCAACTGTTCCGAGGCCTGAGCTGTTGGGAATCTGTAAAATTTCTGTGAAAAATGAATTACGGACTCAGTGGATTGCAGGATTGCGGTTTTATGCATTTTGTTGCAAAATATCCAAAGCGACGATGCTTTCGTTGACAATTAATCTTCTGTTGATGTTCAACTTTTTTTCTAATTGTACTCTCAGAAATATGAACGTTTTCTTTGCGCAACAGTTCACAATTAGCTTAACGATTTTATAAAACACGAGGCCAATTTTACCGAAAACCAATACACTTGTCTTTCACTCAAATAACTCACTAAAATACGCTATTACCTGCACAGAGAACGGTTGAATGGAACAAAATGGTCAACACAGCAGAAAACGCTACATTTTCCTCCAGAAAATCCACTTTCGTTTCGCACATCGTCTATTCGTCGATGTATCGCGAAAACGTTACGAACAAATGGCGAAGAATTTATTCATATCGCCCCTCAATATTATAGCGCCGATCGTTTCGCCAAGAAATACTCGCCCAATTATCGTCGTTCTCCTGACGACGTTCGCAAATTCGTGACAAATGACGTCGTAATAAAAAACCGTGAGCGAACATCATCGTATCATTGTATCTCACTCGGCAGCGTAAGACTCCGATTTTACATCGAGATTATTACACGCGATAAATTCACGCGTAAGAGAGAAATTTCTTAAGGATTTTAAAAAACCTTTCCTACCTTTTCTCAGCACGCTGATATAGATTAGAATTTTCTTACTTACTTATAAGCGTGAAAGCAAGTCTCTAAAGAATATGGAAACATATGATGTCTTACACCGATGTAGGGAAATTTTTCATCTAAATTGTTCCGAATCTGAAAATCTTGTCCCCTGAAGTACAAATCGTAATTGCTATTTGAACTACTGTCTTTTAACTTTTTAAGCGTTATTGGACCATAATAATTTGAGGTTAGGTTGCTCAATTTTAATTAAATGTTCCATCGCCACTCGTTCTTTGTCACAGAGAGCGTAAAATATTTTAAATTTCTTCCAACATAAAAATGGCTCGATGACACTGTTTGAGAGTTAAGAATAAACATCTGAAGATTCACCTTTACCATTTTCAAAAAGCGCATTTTTATAAATACTTAGTGAAACTTTAGATACTTAGCGAGATATTAATATTTGCGAAAAATTAATATTTGCTTCGACAGTGTCATTTGTCGAACAGATTTCTTATTCTTTCTGCGCGTCTGAAATTATGTGCAACAATTGGTCCACTGTTACATACTAAATTTCGGAAAGCTCGGCCTTACTGTCGATCGAGAAAGCGCATTTTCACTCCCTGCGGGTATTAGAAACGCAAAAAGCTCAAACGAACCCGAGATTAAAATGTGCTCCGACATATTGAGCCGCTTTTTCGTTTCGCAAAGTCCCTACCTTGCGACGTGAAAAATGAAAATACAAAATAATGCCCGCGAAGTGACTTTTTCGAAAGAAGGTGCACGCGTGCACGGACGTTTCCGTTTGGTGGAAAATTCGGCGGGATCAACACTGTGCGTGACAGTATATTGACTTTCTGTCCTATTTTTTTTCCTTCTTTTCCTTTTTTTTCTTTTTTTTTTTTTTTTTTGCGTTTTCCAATAACGGCGGTGCATATTTTATAACGAGAACAAACCCAAGGACGTCGACCTGGCGTAGAAAAAAATGAGAATGGAGCAGTCATTAGCGTGAAACAGAGAAGATCATTTCCGTCCGTGTTCCATCAAGCTCGCGCGGAATATCGTGATAATGAGCCCCCTGCTATTCGCCTACTGTCGATCTTTCAAATACTTTAATTTGACTTAATCAAGACCGATATTCCTTCCGTGTAATTATGAATAGAAAACTCTTTTCATTTTCTTTCTCCGTGCGAAATACTTGCAATGATTTCGTTCAGGAAACTAGATATTACATCTAACGAAATAGTATGGAATTAGACTGCTGAATTAGAATGTTTATGCAATCTTATACTTTTACGAGGATAATTTAAAAAAATAAAATCCAGATAGAAAATTATTTTGCAAATATTACAAAGATTATCGTACCTTGAATATTTTATATATTTTCGCATGTTACACGCATTTTCATTTTTTTCATATTGTAAATGAATAAAAATCCGCTAGTCCAGTAATACGTAAGTGTAAGTAGATAATACGACAAAATTTTTAATCAATGAATAAATATTAGTAGAATACTTAATTACGTGTGAAACATTAATATATTAATATATTTATAATTTAAGATGTTAAAATATATTTATAATGATATAATATATATTTATATATAATAATATAATATAATTATATCTCAAGTTCACGGAGATATAAAACACTCAATGAAATGAATGCAAACGATAAAAGATAACCAAGAGTATTACGCCGTAGAATATACAACACGTGTAATCAAATATGCAGTGATAAGAAGTACCGACGCGTGCTTCGGAACGTTAATTTCGGTTTAAAAAGAAAATTTGCTCGCGCGAAGGATGAAACGATACGTGTAAATTGATGTAAAACAATGAGCACGGGTCTGAGGATGTCCTCTCTCAGTAAAAGTCTAAAACGTTAACCACCGAAGTCGTGTTTATTTCGCTCTAATCGATTATTCGCGTCGATTGAGCTGGTCGGCCGCTCGTGGCCAACTTTGGCTTAAATAACGAGCCACGCTGCCAGCACATATGATCGAATCTAAGACCAATGATGTCAATTCGATCGGAAAATCAATGGTTACATTTCACGAGCAACAGCAACAAATATTTACTGTTTGGCGATCGAATATCGGGAAATATCAGGTTTGCGACGCTACAAACTGTAAGTAAAGATAACAGATAGACTGCGGATTTCTACGCGTTTAGAGAAAATTTGAAGATAAAAAAGTGGGCACAATACAAATAATACGAGAAGTAAAATCCTCCTTACGGTCTTTACAATCGGTGAAATAATTTTCTACTTGGGATTCTTCTTAATTATGAAAGTATCAAATTTTGCACAATTATAAAAGTATCAATATTCCATAAACATTCAAGGTCTAATAACATTAAACCATATCAAGCATCGACACTTCGACTCTGTTTCGCAGATTTCTAAATAATTAACAGAAATGCCTGTAAAATTGCAATTCACATCTCTGCATAAAAGCATTTAGATAAATAGATATTTATGAATTAACATAGTGTAGGAATCCCGGCCTGAGATCCCAATTTGTAGGAATTCTGTTAAAGGATAGTTATTTTTTTTTTAGGTTAACTAAACGCGTTTACCGATGCCTCTCAAACTTCAACAAAGAGGCGAGAACTAAAGCGAGCCATAATCTCGAAACTGGCGCAGGTCGTGTCCTTCGTTTCAACAGGCTAGGAATCTGTTTTTACCGATCGGTGATCGGTTTGATCGAAAAATTAAATTCGGATTAATTAAAGAAATTGCAGAAAAAAAATGGACCCGCGGCGCCGGTGTCTCGAGGAGCAATTGCAAAGAAAAGAATCGGAAGCTACGGAGTTGCGTCGAAACCTCCGCGAACTGGGGGCCAAGTTTCAGCAGCTCGAGCGAGCTTTCGAAATCAACTTGCAGTCGCAGGTCTATTTGGAAGTTGAGCTTAATCGCGTGCAACTCGAAAGCGAAGGTAGGTTGCAACACAAGTATTTCTTTTCCTTTTTTTTTTTTTCGTTGCGTTTGCTCGAAGAATTTTTCTCGTGCAGTCGCAAGGATTATCGTTTCCCCCCCTGTCTCTCTCTCTCTCTCTCCCTCTGTCTATTGTTAAACTCGTAAACTAATACTGATTTATTCTTAGACCGAATTTTTATACATTTTGATACTTTCATGAATTTCTATACATTTTATACATCGTGGAAATTTTAGAGACACAGGAATACAGAAAATATACGTAACAAGCGAAAATATAAAGGTCAGATCTACACGAGAAAAAAAAATATTAAATAAAGTTTGTCAGGAAATGCTTTGTTACAGAGTTACAAACAAATATTGTATAATAGATAGCTATGCATTTTGCTTCACTATCTTCTTTTTTCTTTTATTTTCATTATTTAAAGTCACATCAGCCGCTTGTGTGAATTATCAGCGACTTGGAAATCTTACAATATTAATATTATGAAAGTTAAACTGTCTTGGAAAGCATATTAGTTATTCAGGGATGGATATTCAGTTGATGTCTATTCACGGTTGTATTTTCTGGATTATAATATATTCAACTGTCGACTGAACTTTGCACAAATCACAAGTTGGGGGATCTCCTTTGTTTACTGGCGAGTGAATTTTGTTAATTTCTTATAATTCTTGTCAATCGCTTATAATCCTAGAAAAACTTCCTTTTCTATTGTTGTTAGCCACGGTTTACACGAGGATTTCCATTTCTTTTGATTTTCTGTTTCAAGCCAAGAAGTATAGGCAAACTGTTGGTGTAATGGCTTTACTATTTGATTTTTATTTGTAGAATTTTATTTTAAAACAAAAGATTTATTCAATGTGAGTGTTATTCGCACGAAGAATTAAAAACGTAATTTTATGGAAATTCAATGAAATTCTCGGATAACAATCTTTATAATGTTATTAATTCTATTACTTGCCAATATCAAGTTTGCTGGTGGAATTAAAAATTTTTTTTTTTATCGTGTTATTATAATTAATGATACGAACTTGTCAGCACGTGAAAAAAAAAAACATATACTTAACGACGCCTGTATTATAATGGAAAATGCTACTTGCATATTTTGTGTAAACAATATTTATCCACGACTCTATACAAAGTCTCATTGGGGTCGAATTTGATATAACATCTTTTCCTTTTTGTTATGTGTAGATTAAATCCTCGCAGTTTAACTGTTTAAATTGTGATGAAACTAATCTCTGTCTAGATTCCCATTTACATAAAATTTACATCAGATGAAACTAATCTCTGTCTAGATTCTCATTTACATAAAATTTACATAAAAATTCGCCTATTTGTCAGACACCACGATGTTTAGATAGAGAAAGAGCTCGCATAAATTTGCCAAGAAAGATCAACAAACATTTCTTCCGTAGTTAAAAAAAAAAGTTTGAAGATAGAGATAGATGACAAGCTGGTTAAGTACCTATTAGAATTCCAAATAAATTATCCAGTCATATTATCGACGATTGGGCGATAGAATCAGGAAGCTTAATTCCAGCGACATCGAGTAACTCAATTTCAATCAGTCGTGACACGTTCCTAATTAGAACTGTCGATCGCGATGTGACTAGTTACAGGATGTAATTATAGTAACGCAGGGATTAAAGGATGCAGGTAACTATGGAGACATTCGATCGTCGCGTGTATCTCGATCATCCTAATTTGCAGGATCTGTTCTCGCTAATAGAGACAAGTGAGGAATAAAAACTAAAGAACGTAACTTCGTCTACTCTGACGTTGAAACAACTTTCGCGGAACAACTTTTTTACCAAAAGGCCTGATTATCCCAACATCTGGCGCAGAATTTAGTTAAGAAAACTACGTACACCGAGTGATGTTCCAGCCAAGTTTTACAGCGTCAATTTTCTCAAAATCGCTTCCCAAAATAAGAACATCCAAGCCTTGATCCAGCTTAAAATTTTCGATTGCATTTTGTTACTTTCGTTCGTTCGTGCTAGTCGATCTGCTCCTCTCGTAAGTAAATTTTTTTCACGAATGAGATCAACTCTACACTTGCAAATTCGAACGAAGTTGCACGTCTACGTCTCGTCTAACATGCTCAAAAGTAAAAACGCGCAGGCTGCTTTCGAAGCTCTAGAATTTCGAACTCTCACTACAAGCGAACGCAAGAGAAGTCTGACGCAAGCTACAAGCATCATACAACTAACAAACAACTTAACACGTGAATTGAATTTGAAACTGGTGTATTCTATAAGAGATGGTCGAAACATTTCTCTCAAGTTATTTCCGAGTTGTTCAATTTCATTTCTATCCGATGATACTCGAATCTACTTGGAAGTAACGTTGGATAAAATACTTACGAATCGAAAGATCAAAAGATTCCTCGCGCAAACACGCCGGTAATGGAACGTTGGAATAACAAGTGGGACAAAATTTGATCCCGCGGTGCTCGTTTACGACGTTATGACACGAGAAAAGCTGCAGGATTTCTAACCGAGGCGAAATATTTCTCCGGGCCTATTACTACGTTTCCACGTTGTTAGCATAGGGTAAATAATAAACAGCTCCGGGGAATTCTCATCAAGTCACATTACACGAGCACAAGGGACCTATCAGAAGTTCTGCTCGACTTGTTAACGCTAAATAGGCAGTTGGTTACGTCGAGTAGTCTCGAATTAGCTCGATCGAGTTACTTCCAACATCGACCAGGCTTCGGCGATTGTGCGATTCCACAGTCAAGAAATTTATGAAATTCAGATGAAATCGCTTGCTCTCGTCTTATTACCATCGTTCAACGTGATGGTTTTAACATGCTTAACCACTCCCACGCCGTTATGGTTCATCACTGAAACTCCACTTCCCTCCGCCAGCCGGGGAGAGAATTCTCCCGTCGTTGAGAGTGTTTACGCTGATTATACCAGCCGTTCCCGCTGCGAATTGATTTTCCTCGTGACTAGACTGCGAATTTTTATGCGAAATTTCTATGGGAAAAATCGGAACGCATCGAGGATGCATGGATTGCGCGTATAATACGCAAAAATATGTAAACTGTCCAAAGAGTATTTATTACAATGTACAATGGTGGACAAGAGAAAGTTGAGAAGACGATTAAAAGATGATTCACAATTTTGTAAAATGCAATTTTATTTAACAAAAAACGATATAACATATATATCTCGAAGTAGTACGTCTCTTTCTAATAAATCCGATAAAAGTAAGAAAGTTTACTATTCCTTGCGTAGATAAATGTTAATTTAAAACATTTTTTTTCCAATCGTCACTGTACAGTAGATACAACAGAAGTTTCTCCTTCTTCGCTTATGTTCAAAACAAAATTACATAAAAATTCACAGACGCACACCAACTTAACTTCAAGAAATTCAATTCGAACACTTGAAATTCTATTTAAATTCTTAACGTTCCATTACAAATACTTTGAACGCCTCGACAAATTTTTTCCTCAAATTGCTTCTCGATTCTCTAAACATTTTATACAAAAAAGAGAAAAGGTATTTTCAATATAAATGTTTGTTTTCGATCACGACGAGTCGAGATGGAGAAATCTATGGCAAGTTGAACAACAATAAACACGATCCCGCGGAAAAGAAACTAACGTGAAGCTGATTTTATTTCAGAGCTTCGGGAGCTTAACGCCAAGGCTGCGCGAGCGAGAACGAAATTGAACTCGATACTAATGAATGCAATAACTGAGAGGGATCATTGGAACAACGCTTTCCTACAGCAAAGAGAACTTGTTAAAAGGTACGTTGCACACAATCACTTTTAAGCTCGAATAATTCTTTCGTGCTGCTGTCTCTTGCCGTGCTAGAAAGATAACGGAGCGCTTCGTCGAAACTAGTCAATCATAAAGAGCTAAATTCCTTCTGTATATTCGGCTCGGATGATCCTTGATTCTCTTTCTCAATATACCGAAGAAGTTTTAAAAATTGAGCAGAATTGCAGCGAAAAAATAATAATAATAATGAGTTACTTGTCGTTTTGAATTAATTGTTTATTTATGATACAACGTACAAGCTATTTTTCAAGCGTAATTTCAAGATAAAAGTATTAAGCATTGTTCGTATAGTACCAAGTGTCATCTTTAATACACGAAAAATTATAAGCGAGTGAAACTGATTTTTTGACTATCCCTGCTCGCAAATAGAACACGGGTGCATCGCTAATAAAATTGCGCTTGCGTTTCTAGCTCTGCGAATAATAAGTGAAAATCGTTCAAAAATCAACAAGATAAATTATATATATTCTATAGTCGTAGAATTTTAAAGAATTTCCAATTCTCGAATGAAAAATTAACTAGTTACGGAAGCTTAAAGATCTTTTAATTTTCCGACGACGAGTCAGTTCTTAAATTGATAATTAACAATGATCAAATTTATGATATTGTCATAAATCAACAATTATCGTTACCTGATCTTTAAATGACAAATGACAAATGGGAATGACAGATGACAAATGGCAACGACAAATGAACTCGTCATTTAGAAATGATTTCCCAACCGTGAGATAAATTAAGTAGTCGAAGAATTTCAGAGATTTTCCAGTTCTCGAATGAAGCATTAACCAGTTACAGAAGCTGAACGATCTTCCAACTTTCCAACGAGTCAGTTCTTAAATTGGAGTTTAAAAAGGATTGAAACTCTCGCGCTTCTCGTTTCACCAAAATTTTATCGAACGCAGTGCAGTCACCGTGCAACGATGCAGCGACGACTATCGTCGAATCTATCTCGAGTCGACGTCGCAATTCCACGAACGCCTAGCGCGTAAGAAACAAGAAATTCGAAAGGAACAGCTGGACAAGATTAATTAACGTTCGATGCATACGTGCACACGTCCAATCGGTGATCTGGTTTCTCGTTAATCTCGATTAGCGGGCGAACATTTTCTACCGACGAGGGGAAAAGAAAAAGTCGCGTTTGGAAGGGAAAACTCGGCAAATAGACGCAGAATACGGTCGATAGAGAATTCATGGAGAAATCCAATTGCGGATTGATGAATGAAGCCCGAGATACGGTGTATGCTCATGTGAAAAATGCATCGGCTGATGTTTAATACTTTTTCGTTTGTCTCCCCCATCTCCCTCCTGCTCTCGCGTCGAAGCTCAAACGATTATTATTCATTTATCTCTTCTATTCGTTTATTCATCAACGTATGGGCTTGAACTCGGCGTTTAATTACACATTTAAGTAAATATATACCTATGTATACGAGTGTAATAAAAATAAGAAAGAAACAGACAGTAGGGGGTACTTGAAAAATTTGAGAAAAAGACGTGACCAGATGAAGAGAAGAATGTTGCGTAAAGGAGGAAAATTTCTAATTTGAAAATGACGCGAGATCTATTAACAAAAGTATGTATGGACCTTGTAAAATTTGGTACTAAACTAAGATGTTTTGAATATGGTAATTGGTAAATTTTGTTGGCCATACACGTATGTAAATCATAAAATTTACTAAAACAATGAAGAAATTATCGCTTTATCACTGATGACTAAAGCTCAAAATTATACCAACAAGAAAGAAGAAAGTTGAAACCTCGCTTGCTATTGAAAAATTTGAGAAAAAGACGTGACCAGATGAAGAGACGAATGTTGCGTAAAGGAGGAAAATTTCTAATTTGAAAATGACGCGAGATCTATTAACAAAAGTATGTATGGACCTTGTAAAATTTGGTACTGAACTAAGATGTTTTGAATATTGGTAAATTTTGTTGGCCATACACGTATGTAAATCATAAAATTTACTAAAACAATGAAGAAATTATCGCTTTATCACTGATGACTAAAGCTCAAAATTATACCAACAAGAAAGAAGAAAGTTGAAACCTCGCTTGCTATTGATTTATAGTTATTGAGCAGTATCTCGGCTTTTGCTAGAAATCTTTCTCCTTTTGCAAAAAATGAATTTGCTCTCTTTGGTCAAACCGTGACTCTTCGTGATGATCCAATCATCATCTTGCACAGTATTAACAAACATCTCTTCTATACTTGAACTTAAAAATAGACTCGAGATAACTCTCAGACTGATTCTTAAACTTATTTCAACGAGGTTGTGTTACATTAATTTGTAACACAATTAGTATTAAGAATTGCACAGCCAAGAACTTTGAGAATATATTTTATCAACAATTTCAAACAACTAAAGAAACATTTTACTAAAAATTAAAATTCAAAGATCTTTGAAACATTCATAAGTGCAAGCATTCTTCTATCCTTCAGTTTTGAAAGATATTTCAGTTCATTTTAATCGGGCCTCAAAACGCTATTCGAGCACAAAATCCCAATATTGGCGGTATGAAATTTTACAACGTTTTGTGCACACACTTTTTGTATATCTAAACGTAGATTTGACAGAGATCTGAATTTAAGCTGACCGATTTATTGTTCGATACTGACGATAATGTTTTATTCATTCGAGGTGACCGAGATGAATATTAATCAAGTCGATCGCGTAAAAAGTAAATTTACATGAATCTTTAATATACCGGCGAGTTACGTGTTCACGAACTATGAATCAACTATTAGCAGTGATTTAATAGCTTATTTACATGACCGATAGTTTGATCCGATAGTTGGCAGATTATTATGCAACTAATTCCAACTAATTCCTCGGGGAAATTCAATGTACAGAGTTGACGAAGTTGGTGTATTTTCTAAATTTACTCCATAATTGGATTTTCGACAATACGATCAACTGCTTATTGATCAACTATTAACTAATCCTTTCGGCGACAGTATTTATATTTTATAATTAAACATATATACTTTATATATATATATATATATATTTACTATACATTATACTATACTTTATATACTGCATATGTCAGTGAAATTCTATGAAATTAATAAACTTTTTCAGTCTTTCAAACTAAAGAGAACATGCTACGTTACATTACTGGTCAAAAATTTAAAGTTCACTTTCATTTCACAGAACTAATTGGAAATTCTATAGTCACAGAATCGAAAATCTATCGAGGCATAGAAAATATTATTACCAATACTAATTAACCGATAACTACCGATAATTAATTAATTAGTCAGAATTACCAAGAAATTTAACGAGAGATTCAACGTAGAGGAAAATGATCCCAATTTTTGGACCATCTGTGTAGACGCACAATTTTAAAGTAGACATTCGTACGCAAACGCAGATTGAACAATTCATACTAGATTAGACCAGCAATGTAAAAAAAAAAAAAAAAAAAACAAATTCAGTCTCATGAAATTCAACTAGTAAGGTAGGTACTCACTGATGTTCCGTCCAATCGACCAGAATCTTCTCCTTTTAATTAATTCCACCTTGTTTACTTCTTCTCTTCTGCCTCCGCCATCCAATCGTTCGTTTAGCCAGAATCGCTTCTCCTAATTATGAAAGTGTCATCTCTTCAGGCTGGTGTCTCTCGACGATCGCCCTCTCTTCGAAAATCACTCCAAATTACCCCCGTGAAACGCTTAATTATAAACGCGTGTAATTAACAACAACTTGGCTCGCCAGCATTTGAGCTGGCTCTTTCATTCAAAAATCGGCCAGCCCGTTCGAGAGTTCTCAATTAACGAGCGTGCTTGCCTCGAGGATTCCAAATCTTGTGCCGCGGCAGCGCAAGAGTCCCTCTTTCTCTCTCTCTCTCTCTCTCTCTCTCTCTCTCTTTCTCTTCTTGGACGAAACGCAATTTGCATGTCGACGATTCACGTTCACGTGTCTTGAATTTATGGCGTTGTTTGCCACGGGGTAAACCGTGAAAGGATAGTAGACACCATCGACAAACCGCGTGCTTCTCCTGATCGATTTACGGCTCGAATCTGCAACGAAACACAGTATCATTCGACGCGCGTTCTCGCTGTAAATTGTTGTCAATTATCGGTCAGCCTGAAGGTTTACGCGGCCGATCGAACGCGGTGGTGATCTAACGTACATTGCGGATTTTTACAATTGGAAACCAGGTCAAACAGTACGCGTATCCATTGAGTACAAGTACGGGCGAAGAGAAACGAGTGGTTATAAAATGTACATTCGTTAGTTAATTATCGGTTAGTGACGAATGTAAAAGGGGTGGAATATACATTATTGGAAATTATATCACTTAATTTTAGAATTTTTAATTTAATCAATTTTTATCAAATTTAAATGTATTGTAAAATGTAAATCAAATATCTCAAATTTTAATAATCTAATGCTAACTGGCGGCCCGCTACCCCCTCTACTGCATCGATATTCATAATGGAAGGGGTAACACGATCAGGAAAGTAGGGGCAAGAGTCCTTGGGCCGTCAGTTAGCTGTCTCTTTTTATTAAAATTTAAAATATTGATCAAATTAAAAATTAAAAATTCCAATAATGTATATTCCACTCCTGCTCTGATCTAAACAACAATTTACTGTAATTCTAGCCTCTGATACTATGATAGTATTTGAGAGTCAAGGTTACATGATGGAATAGAATAGAATGAACGATTGTCAATCGAATATCTCAAATTTTAATAATCCAAGATATAAATTACTACATTCGTCGGTGATACTTATTCAGTTGAAAATAAGTACAATTCAGTAGAGAATAATAATAATATACACAATTAAAGTTGTGTAATGGAATAGAAAGTTACGTAATAGAACTAACAAGAGAAAGACGAGACAGTAAGTAGCCGTGCTTGCACACGCTGAAACACACCAATGTGAATGCTTTGAATTTGGGTATCAACGTTGATCACTGCGACGTGACGTTTCGAGCACGCCGCGTGACCTCTG